TCACCACTGCTCACAGTCTCACCACTACTCACAGTCTCACCACTGCTAACAGTTTCACCCCGGCTCACAGTCTCACCACTGCTCCACAGAACGCAGTTGGGTCTAGTGACGTGCCTCAGCTGTGTCCATAATGAGGTGTGGGTAAAATGCAGAGTTACCACAAGATGGGTTCAGTAGTCGTCACCTCTATTTTCCTCAGGGCATGTAGTGTGTACTGTCCCAATTATTGAAAGCATTCCCACTAGGTCTTCTCTTGGAGCCAAGAATTCTTCATTGAAGAGATCTGGTATTCGCATGGTGTCATTGGCAAACGTTTTTCTGGGGGGGCCTTTATGCGCACATGTACACAGCAATTTTTTGTTGTTCATGCAAATTCCATGCAAATTAGAGGTGGAAGACAGGTGTTATCTCTGCCTGGAAAGAAAAAGAAGATCCACTATTGAAGTTCCCTTTAAAAAGTCAAAGTGGAAGGCCACTCATCGGAAAGGAAAAATTGACAGTAACTTGCTGAAACTGTTGTAAACAAATTTGAGATAACGTTGTGGAGATGATTTGCTCCTTACTGGCGCCATGACACACCCCCCCTCGAAAAAATCTGATGTTTTCTTCTTCACTTGACAGTGTCTCAGCTGATGCCTCTTGGGACAGAGCAAAGTTTTCACAAATCCATTTCACGTTAGTTTGTTAGGGCCTTTTTTTCCCCTTTTCTGTTGACGTCAGATGACTAATTTCATTGAGTTTGTGCTACCAGCAGCGGTGGAGTTAATTACCAGCCGCCCCCTCTGGGGATGGGGAACTAATCTGGAGAAAGTTCAGATTAATGAATGAAATTATACATCAGGAATGAAAGGTCGTTTGTAATCTGGCGGATGTTCGCGCGACTCTTCCTGGAAAATTCGTCAGCATCCCACATTAAGTCTGTGGTTCTCATTTCCAGCCGACCCTAATTTTGGAAGCCCCACCCTTTTTTTTCCCCAGGCCGCTGGCCCTGTGTGCAACTTTGGTCCCGAGAAAACAAGTCAAAGAAAAATGGACACTCCTCTTAATTTTGTTGGAAAAAAAAAGGAAGACGGCAGCGTCACATATTACTTTAACAAACGGGCATTCAATTTTTTTTTCACACAAAACGTATGTGCACTTGTACCTACACTATGAGAGACATTTTATAAGGCAGAGCAGTGATGATCAGTGTGCACAGGCCAGACGTCCTTTGCTGACATTTCTCAGTGATGCTATCCAGCTCCAACTCTGCTGTCAGAGCCGATCACCCTCCTGAATCTTTCCCAGTTCTGCCCATACAGACATAGATAAAAAAGTATTGCTGCTTCTTGTCTTGCTGAAGGACACAGGACACCTGATTTTTGTGCATTGACTGCACCCGGTAATGAAGTCCCCGGTATACAATCAACTCCCAGTATAACAGAGTTGGACCAAGTGATTTACTGAGATATAGCCAAAGCCTTGTTACAGGACTAGATGATTTGATAAAAGAATTCAGGGACAACAGAATTGAGGGACTCGGGAATTCAGAATCGGATTTGCATAACAGGATTTTGTGGCACGACTGCTCCCCGGTATAGAGACCCCACTGTAATTTCGTTCGTTGACGTCACAGACTGTGATGCCCCGGACCGTTCTTGTGTTTGCTCTGCAGATCTGGAGACGATCAAGGCCTACATTGACTCATTCCGTTATGGGGCGCCCCCTCACGGCGGCGGCGGAATCGGCATGGAGCGAGTTGTCATGCTGTACCTGGGACTGGACAATGTACGTAAAACGTCCATGTTTCCCCGCGACCCCAAAAGGCTGACTCCGTAGAATTGATTTTGTTCCGGCGATGGTATCAGCTCCACGTGGCTCATTAAATCACCAAACCTTAAAGGCTTATGCTTATATTTTTGTGTTGAATTTTGTTATAGGGGCTTCTGAATGGTATTTTCTTAGACCTGAGAGCTATGTAAACGTACTGTGTAGAAAACATAAGAAATAAAGTAGATAGGGTCCTGGTGATGACAAGCGGTCGGTGACCGTTTCCTAACCTTGTGCCTACATGGATAAAGTCATAAGACGGGTTCTTTCGGTGTGCAGATGCGATTCAAATGGGAGCTTGTAACATCGTTGCTTGCCAGTGATTGGAACAAAACGAATGTCTCAAAGGTGTTCTTTTCCACGATGGATCGAACAGATATGCGATACTTTTTCGGTATATTCATTTTTCAGAGAATTGTCGGGCCCCCAAAAGTCGGATTTCTTAAGTGTCGTTTGATAAAAGCCTGGGTTATATTCAGTCAATTTTGAGTGACTTGCTGAAAGTAGTCCCACGTTGACAAAAAGATTAAGTAAAGGGCAAAAAGGGAAATTAGACACTTGCGTCAAACGAGTTTGAAGTCAAAAAGGTTACCCAGGGTTTTTTTCTCTTTACTGTAGCCCAAATCTGTGTATTGCACCCCGATTAAAACCCCTGCCTTTTTCAACCCTTTTTCATACTAACAGTTATCCTACAAAGACACCAGTAGCCTTTAGTCAGGGTGCGTGGCAGTTGCACCAGTCTTTTTTTCTTGCGACTTTAACGACCTCACTGATCTGTTGACATGTTGTCCGCATCCTTGGTGCCATATGCGCCCTGATTAAAGGCTAACAAGAGCGGATTGGTAAATGGAGTAAGAAAGAAGGTGACTGTGAAAAATTTAATGTTTGGAGAGGTTCCAAAAACGAGTATGATATGTTTTTAAATGCTTGAAAATCTCACATTAAAGCGGTGTTGTTACATAGCATCCGGTCACATTTACAACACTGTATTAACGTGATATTTGAAGAGATGCTTTGCAAAGGCCATGGATTTTGCATACCATCTGCATTTTGTTTTAGGATGTCAACTATAGTGAGACTATTACTAGGCCAAATAATTCGACTTTGAGAAAATGCGTTCATTTGTATCTCCGAGGGTTATTAACTTCTCATTGCTGAGAAATTATGTTGATGATTATTAGGTATGCATATTTTAGGTTTTATTTTTGGACCAATTTTGAATCGAGGGTCAGAATTTTGTTCTTAGTTTTGGTGGTAGGTTTCACAACATGTACTTGCATCTTTTCCTGTCAGGTGTTTTCAATAAAATTTATCTCCTCTCTGACTTCTTTTCCGACTAGATACTACCTTTCTCGTCGGACCAAAACTCGAGTGATCCTTTTCTCGTGCTTTCGCGTCGTCAGCCGTGTTGAAGCACGAAAGACAAACATCCAAGCATTGGGATGCAGATTTTCGTCAGTTGCGGTGGAGAGCGAAAAATACATGCGCGTGTACAGTAGACGGAGTGCGCAGGGCCTTATAAGCGGAATCTGTTTGGGAGTGTTTGGCCGTTGTCTCTCGACGTTTTTTGCCCGGGCCGTTTCAGCCGTTGGACCCGTATAGGCCGTGTTGGAGCCATGTTGGTCGGGAGAGTTCGTTTTGTTGGTAGCGACGCGACTGCAACGCTTGCGTTTCATAGTCGTTCGTGAACCAGCGATGCGTAGTTACTACCAAAAAAGCCTCCGTTGCTAGGAAAATTGTGCATGTATGTATACATAGTTCACACCGGATGCTCGCTGTTTCAAAGTAAAAAACAATTACATGTATATACGGTAATTAAAAACAAAAACTGTTGCACCTTAAGTATTCCGAAAGGGAATCGACATTTTTGAATTATAAAGGCTTGTTTGTTCTTTCCAGCTCCCCGTCTCCTTTTTTCCCTCTAACCCGGCGGCCAAATATTCCTGTGATGGAAACTTGAATCGGTCATCACTGACCAAGTCTGAGCTGAAGGCTAAAACGCTGACTGTGCCTGTCGCTAAACAGAATTCAGCCTTTTATATAAGGAGGCAGGGGACACTGCCGAACTATAGAGTCTCCTGTCCAATTATCAACCTGTCCTTTCGATTAGATTTGATCAAGGGGGGGGTGACCTCCATCAGGCCTCTGGAGGCAGTTACGTGAGGTACAGCTGACTTGGCCTTCGTACCCCATGGGAAGGTCTGGTTGTAATTGGATGGCGCTTTGGTTTGGGAGGGGGGGTGGGAAGAGAAATGTACCTCAGATGTCGCTGGAGGGTGGGCGGTGTTTTGTGATGACATCCCTGCGTATGAGGAATTCTTTTTGTTGCTCTACCCTGCGTACACATTTCACCCCATCTCATGTGCTGCATTCCGATGTTTTCCCCTCTGAATTCTAATATACAGGCAATTAAAGCTCCAAAACTCTAACTTGCAAAGGAAATCAATTTCTCAATAGTCCACAATTCAAATAAAGCAGGTATTTAGAAATGTGGCCATTTAGTTAGAGAAGTATTGAGTTTTTTCTCTCGATCTCGTCTACCCCTAAAAAGTGCATATTTCACCCCATCTCATTGCTACATTCCGATGTTTTCCCCTCTGAATTCTAACAGAACTAAAGCTCCAAAAACTTAAATTGTAAAGGAAATCATTTCCTCAATAGTCCACGATTCAAATCAAGCACGTGGTTAGACACCTCAGAACCACCTTTCTCTCATTATAACGCTTGTGTTAACATTTGTAACATGTGAAAAGCGACGTCTGTTAATTTCATGGGTTCTCTTGATGTTTCGTTGTCCCTGTGGTAACAACACGTGCGCAAAGCGCTGGCTACCGCCGCGCCGCACCAATGCAAGAGAATGCGTGATGGTGTGTGACATTCATGGACATGTTCGAGCGACGACTAAAGTTAACTATAGTTTGACTAACACCGCCCGAACGACGAATGGTTTGGACTATCTAGTCGGCCATTTGGGACCATGCCCAAGGCATGATGGTCGCAACGCTGGTTATCAATAGGCCATTTCATTTATCATTGCAGAGGGAACCATTCACATGAAAATAACTGTACGCAATTTCAATGACCATGTAGCCTGCGAGAATCGCAGCCTCCAGTGAAATGTGAGTATTAAACGATGAGATTTTAAAAAATTTGACCGACAAGGGTTGTTTGAGTGTAACATAATTGCGCATGCACATTGAAAAAGAAAAATAAGTGACTACCGGTCGAACGGTAGTTCGCGCCAGAACTTACCCCATGTCTATTCATCCTGCGGGGACCGTACGTGTACGTGACCTCCCACATCCCCAAAAATTAATAATAAAAATAATAAAATAAAAACAATCAATGTTGCAAGATTTCTCCAAGTTAATTCACAGAACTATAGTATCTTGTCCGTGTATTTTCTGTGTTCATGAGTTTATTTTAGGCTGTTTTGCTCGTACTTGAAGCGAGCATGTTTTCACCAAAGTTTCTGCTGTGGCGCGCCGACGTTTATCCACGTCCCGGCCACTGTCTGGATGCATCGACAATTACCAGAACGGTGTCCACAGAATTGTGTATCGCTTCAAGGCTTGAAGATGATGAGAAATAAACCAAATGCTAGTCCAACCATATTTGTTAATTCCCCATGGACAACGCCGTCGATTTTAATTTTGTGAATGCCGTGGAGTTTTCTTTGTACATGTTTAACTCCATGCCGTTTGTGGAACTCTTCTCTTGACCATTTTTGAAGAGGCTTCTGCTTGTAATCACTCGAGCACGGACGGGGCGAAGTAGCAATGGGGCGAAGTGGTCAGGGGCGACGTGGAAATGAAGAAAAGTGACTGTACAGCGATTCTGCCGGATTCATTGCCCGCCGGTCCCTACGTTCGGAGGACGTTTCTAAGACGTCTGGAGACTAAGAACGGGACGGGAACCAGCCTACAGGACGGTCGTAACCTCGTCCCTATACTGATTGGCCCATCGCTATAGAATTGCGTCAATGCAATTCGTGATGTATTTCCATGATAAACAAACGGACAAACTCAGCGTACAAAATTACACAGGGCGTGGGTATTAACTCAGATGCGGCGATGGGTTAGTTTTGCGTGTTCGACCCTCCAGTTTAATAGCAAGGCAACGATGGTAATCTGTCTTTCGCACTTAAGCTGCGTTTGCGAATTGCGACGGCCAAAACACGATTGTCTTACAACCCCTTATCGAGCTCGGTGACTTGCATTGTGGCCTATTTGTCATGGTGCTGCTGCCATGGTGACAGATTAAAGAAGTTGTTTCAGCGATATATGCGAGCAATATTATGAACAATGGGTTTAGGACTTACATTTTTCTACTTGAGGATACGATTCCCTACTTCTTAATTATAACTTCAAAATACAATCGCTGAAAAATACCGCCTCTTTTAGGAGTTTAAAAAGGCAGATGAAAACATACATATTTACCGATTTGGCGTAGATCCTAACTGTTCTGCACTAGAAGTATCTGCCCATGTGTAAAGGTTCAGTCATGTACACTGCAAAAACTCCGTTGTTAACAACACTTTTGGTGTTACCAGATGAACACACCAAAATGTGTTATTTTAACACCACTGGTGTTATACTTTATACACACACGAGTGTTACAATTCACTGGAAGATATGCTAAAAGTAACACCAAAAGTGTTGAAATAACCAAAACAAATGGAATCGGCCGGAAATTTCAAACAAATGCAATCTTGGATTTTGTGTAAACGTGTCCGTCATTGCCTCGCCAGCGGCATCAAGATAGGCCTATTATAGCCGGACAGTGTTGTAACGATGTATACTTTGAAATGAAGAAATTGAATTGAAGTCCTTCTGGCCGGGAAATTTATATGTTGAATTCAGTGCCACAATTTCACGAGATAGAAAATTGAGTTAGTATTCGGTATATGCTGGCAGAAAATTCAGTATTTCAGTACAATGCTAGCCACACATGCTTGTTCCAGTGTTAGACCCTTTATTAGAAATGACGCGAATTACCGTTGAGACGGGAGACAAACGAACTCTGTTCCTTGCTGTATCTAGTTTTTTGTTCCTTATCACGCGGACACTTGTCATTTAATTTACCTGCGTTACAGGTGTATAGCAGGCTGAAAGTGTCTAATCGGTCGGCGTATGTACGAAAAATGTGTTGCGTAACAGGTAGAAACGGCAGAGGTATGTAATTAACATGTGCGAAGCAGAAGGGTTTTCTAGTCAAGCAAGGGTGCGGAATTCTGGCTTGTGACTTCGACCGTGCAAGAACTTTCTTAAAAATAAATATAAGGATAATGCATTAGCAAACAGTACTAGCAGACTTAAGGTTTTTCAGAGTCTTTTTTTTTCTTAGGGAGTTTTATCTGTGGCTTTTAATCCCCAGCCTAGCAGTACTGCGTGGTGCAGGAAGACAAAAATTGTATTTGATATGATTTGTAAGCAAAACCTAAATGACGGAATTATTTTGTTGTATAAAATGGGTTTAAAATATACCTTATGATTTATTGTTTAATCATTTCAGTGACTGTGGGCAAAAAAGCTTCAAAGTATTTCTGTTCAGAAACGAAAGCCAAAACATTGTATTTGTAGCAAGTGAATAAACGTCAGGCTCCATGGCGGTGCTCGGACTCCTGGCAAGCATTACCCATAAAATTGTGTAAAGTGTCGTTCTTGGTGTGAAGGGATGTTAAAGGAGAAATAGATTAGACCTTGGGGTGGCGTATGTGTCCTCAGAAATAGCATACGGTGGCTGTGGGCGGACATTGTGCTTCGAGTAAATCGTTTCTTTACAATAGGCACATTGTCCTTTCTTATAAACGTTCCCGTGTCGTAACTTGCTTTAGAAAGTATCGTTGAAATGTGTTGATCTGGAAATCCAGGTTCTCAAAAATTAACGTGATTTCATTTTTAGAGCCACCGTATGGGAGAGCATTGGGCGTAGGCCTGTCTGTAGGCAATGCTTGGGAAATAATTACCCGACCTTCTCTTGATGGCATCGATACCTGTCTGTACTTACTACGAAACTTTATGTCCATTGTGTGTGATATTTGCTGGTAAATGGTAAATTTTCTGGTAAGCAACCAAACACAATTTAATTCCTTCTATTGCGGAACGCGTAACAGCATATAGGAGATGTTAGACAGGCAAGCAAGCCATGCGGGACCTTGTAAGTCTATTACATGTCGTGAGAAATTCGTTTTTGACAACTTACTGTCGACGGCACTCGTAGACATTGTTCCAATTACTTCTGCTTGGCTGAAAACAAGCCTAGGTTAGATGTTACAGCTTTGTATATATTGGCTCCCAATCTAGTTCTCTCGTGTTCATCAGATTGTGTCGACATTTGTCCTGGCTAGGTCTAATCGGGCAACCCTTGGTCTATTTAATCGCTCGTCCTTGTAATACACGAACGGACGACTTGTTCTTACCACAGTGGCGGCTACGTCTTACAAACTAGACGTGTATTCTCACGCAGCCCTATAGCCCCCTGGAGGCAGCCTTGTTGTCTTGATTTCAGATCCCCTTTTTTCCAAAATGGAACGACTCAGACAATGGGGACAGGAAGATAATCATTGTCTGTATTTCCCCCAACGGTCTTTGCCCTTGCTACTTGAACATTTGTCAGGGCCGTAGCATAAACGAAAATCCCAAATGAACTTCAACTTCTGTTAGGTATCTGTTTCCTGGACAATTTTCCAATGTGATGGATTTCTTTCGGGAATCATCATAAGAGAAATTTGTGACGACGTAAAACCACTTTGCCGTGTATTGATATCTCACCGTTCGTACAGTGGGCGCGTCCTTTGGCCGTCCACCTGAATATAAATCACTTGGCTGTGAGCCTATAAGCCTGAAAGGATGATTTCAAAGAATGCCCACAGCAAGAGAACGTGCAAGGCACATTTCAGCCCCTATTTCATCACTCACTGGAAGGTGTTCTTCCGAAACGATTGTGAAGGACCGTCGTAAAGTTACCATGATTATCAAACTGTTCGTTTTATGGATGGCCGTCACTTGCTCCAGGGCTAATGCTTTAGACATTGGTGTGTTTCTTGCTGATGCTCCCCCAAATATCGTGGCGTTTATTCTGTCTCGCACTCGCATCTTACCAGCCCTCGATATCGCCCGCGAGACGGTCCAGCAGCGCGTGGAGAGCGGTCAGTACGCCAACTTCAGCCTGCAGTGGGCCTTCTCGCCGACCGGGTGCACCCAGGGCGTGGTGGCCGCTCTTGGCGTCGCTGCCCGGCTGCATTTCGACAGGGACGTGGCGGCTTTCTTCGGACCAACGTGCAGCATCGAGGCAAGGGCCGTGGGGGACCTGGCCGCCTCGCTGAATCTCCCCATGCTATCGGGCAGTGCCAACGCCCACCAACTCGACGACAAGACTAGGTACCCCACCCTCACCCAGACCGTCTTCAAATCCAGCACCATGGTGTCTTTCTTCAAGCAGTTGGCCTTCTTCTTCGACTGGAAGCTGGTGGTGATTTTGAGGGTGGACTTCGACTTCTTTGTCCTCCCTAGTAACGCCCTGGAAAACGGTCTCCGTGAGGCTGGCTTCAGGTCCTACGTGATCCACCTGGAATGGTTCGACGAAGTCCAGCCTGCTCTGGAGGAGGCTGCTCTCAACGGCCGAAGTAAGCTCTGTATGAATTTCTTTAAATAATGTCTCCTTGTTTAAATAAACCTAATTCCCCACTGGAATATCGAAACACACTAAAAGTGTTCAAGGGCATGAGTATCTTCAGACGAAACTTTAGATAGTGAGCGTAATGAGAGTTATTGTTCATATTTTTATTTTTAAACGTTTTCCTGGACAAAATTATGGGTTTTTGTTTGTTTTTTAAGTTTTACTTTTGATTTTGCGCCAACAGCGCCGTGCCGACAGTAATGAGAACATGGGGAGAACAGTGTTCATTGCTTTTCCCTTTTTTCGTCTTGAAATAATGCATGTTAAAGGTGTTTTTGGATGATTTTGTTTTCCTCCCTTCCCAACGTGTAGAAATTCCATGAAGGCAGCATTGACTCTCAGAAATCTCTTATGTTTTTTACATAAAGACAATTCCAAATGTTTGCCCCCCCCATTTTTTGCTCCCCCGTGAAATCCTGGTTCTGGGTCCACCTTGGATGTGGACTAACACTGCTTACTGCGATGGTAACTTTTATACTAACCAAGTATATACAGGGCGGCATAGCCCCGGTCACTCCTTCATCTTTTTAGTGATAAACTCACGACTATGTCAGCATGCGCATAAATCGCCAAGGCGACAGAAAGGGTCAGCGGCCCCCTAAAAATTACAGGGGTAAAAAGGATCAGTTCCATTTTCCCTTCAATTCTCCAGGATCTTTACTCTGATACGGACTGCAGTTTGTATAGGGACAGACTAGACATTTTGTTCAGGAAAGTGATTGTAAGCAGCTGCTTAATTAACTGTGACTGGGGCAATCAGCTAATACAAACGTACACCGGGGACGTTGCCTATTTGTTTTGCCCTCCCCCCCCGAAAAAAAGGAGTCTGGATCTGGCTTTGAGTCTTTGGTGTACAAAAAAAAGTCGTTTTAAAATGAATTCGTCCAGAGCGCACGAGATTGAGACGAACGCACGAGTTTGAAAGAAATCAATGCATGTTTATATCCTTTCCGCACGAGCTGAAAAAGTCAATTACTCTACAATTCAGGGTACCGTGCAATATCTCCGCTCACTGATTCGCAGCCAAGTTGAAGCTGCATTCGCATTTTACCTTGCTATATCATCAGCGCGTACATGTATACATGGTACCCTGGATCACAAAGTTATCTATTTCGCACAGAAAGAAAAGAGCTAGCCCATATAGTTGCTTTTTGTATCTTTCCTTTCGGAATGAAATAAATCCTATAATTCTTCATTTTGAATGCTTCATAAAAATTGGCTAGAAAGTAATACAGGATTTCCCGGCCAATTTCGGAAAAATGTGTAAGTGAATTAGGAATAGCAGCATTCGTTTTTGAGCGAAATGGAACGAACATTCAAATCTAACCTTTCTATTTAACAAATAAAATTCTCTATCAAGGAGGGTGCATTCAGTCGTATTGAGTCAGCGTTCAATTTCCTGATATTGTATCGGTTTAGTATCTTGACGTTCGGTTTAGCGCGAAATTGAATGCCCCTCTGCAATACGGCAATTATCTTAATTTGAAGTCAATCTATTTTGGAAAATGTGCAGGCGATTTAATTCGCGCGAAGTATTTTTGAACGTGGGCCTGGTCAAGAATTAGAACGCGTTTGTGTGTTAACAGAGGTTACATTTTACAAGTGTTTAGTGGATTGGTTAAATGCTGGAATATTTATGATTGAAATAAACCATTCATGTTGTCATTGGTAACTAACAACTATTGTAGGAAACCTATCAACACTGGCACTGACGGAAGCTCCATTCTTGTGCTGCGTTTCAATCATAAAAACCTTATTTTTTACAGTTTGATAGCAAACACGTTATAAATGAGTAACATGACATTTATTATCAAAGTGGTGTCATGATTTGTGTAATTTTGTATATTCTTGTCAAATTGAAAGCATATTTTGCGATTTTAAATTACAGCAAATGAAAATGAATACTCACCTCCAAAGGGTCACGGTAAAAGACAGATTTTTAGCGAATACGAATGCACATTTGTTGTAATTGGCAAGGAATACGTCAATCCAAAATTCCAATCACGTATTTGTAACCTCTTTAATGGAACGTAGTGCCGTCATTTTTTTTTAAGAATGCAAAACAAAAAATTGAACGTTGTTATTGTTAATGCTTGTTTAAGTCGTTTTCAAAAAGAACGGAACCCTACTGCATGATTTCTTTTGACCTCGCGTGCGCTTCAAACAAATGATGTTTTTCAAGTTTTCTCTTTTTTTTCCTGAAGTTCCTCTCACATAATGTATATATACTGTTTTTAGAAGGTTTTCCGCGAAGATAAAAGTGAAAACAGTGCAGATTGAAGCTGAAAGCAAATCACTTTGAAATTTGTGCCTCTGTACGTTTCAACAGGCCGCCCAAACTTGTTGCCTTCACTTCCCACTTACGCGCGTGCTCACATAAATTAGAATTTATTCATGAACTGGTCTATCCGGTTCGTAAGTGTGACGTCTCTTCAATTTAACCACACCCACTGCACATGCACTGCACATAGAGTTATGTGCATTTATCTCCGTTACCTGGAACTATGGAACCAAACGTTAACGCGCAACTTCAGCGATTGTCCAATGGGAGCCTGCAAACCGTGGCGCGTCCGCGTGTTTGACGCGTGGAAGTCACGAACCGGATAGGTCCCTTCGCGTGGTCGCCTATTAAGGTGTAGCGAATCCCGTAAAAATGAAAGGTAGCACGTCGCTATGCTGTAAGACATTTTTCGGGGCAGACTCTTGTCTTGAAATCAAGTCCCGGTTTTACATCTGCTTGGTCAGGAACCGGCTCGTATTCATCATCACGCTGCCATTATGCGAACCCTCGGAGATGGAAGGGCTCATTGCCAATCACAGATTTGACAACGTTGAGATGTTTCATAGTTCTTTTGGAACCTGAAAGCATGAGCACTCTTTCCATTGAACCATTCTTTTTTTTTTTCAACTCGAAGAGATGAAGCCCGACGTCTATGGTACGGGCGGTTTTGACCAGCGAAGGGCAAAGTGCGTTCTTTTGATATTGAAGGTTGTGATTTTTATTTTTTTGTATGTTATGTGGTATTTGTGGAATTAGTGCGTAATGCCACTCACTGACTGAAGCATTGGCCTCAAGTGCTACATGTAAGGTTCACAATGTTATTTTCGACCTCGAAATCAGTGAAACGAAGTCAGTGCCTAAACTGAAAGTTAAAGCTACATCACCTAAACATACAACACCATAACACCCTTGAGCCTCGAGTTAGACCAAGAGAGGTCGCAATTTTCTTATTAACGGAGGCTTCTTAGCTTGGAAGTGAACTTCGCTGGTTCACGAACGACAGTGAAATGCACGCGTTACGGTCGCATCACCACTGACACAATAAACACTCCGACCACTCTGGCTTTTTTCAACCGACGAGTGGGTGCATGCTTCTGCTTGAGGAGGATAACGCCATGCATTGTTAACAGTACAAACACGCACTCAACTATAAAATGGAAATGAGTGCCCCTGCACTATTTTCATTCTTACAAAAGGCGTAAATGAAGATAAGATGCTTTCGAGGGGCATCCACTTCACCTCTCTTCCCAAAGTTACTTTCTGTGGTTTTTCCTGAACAAAGGAATTGACGTCAACTCGATGCAAAAACCCTCCTAGACTGTATTTATTTATTTGACTTTTTGTTTGTCACGTCTTTCAACTCCTGCATTCTTTGGCCATTTTTCAAGGCACCGAAGATATTACATTGTATTCCCATGCGTCTTTTAAGATTACTTTGCCATTCCTCGGGATTCACCTCTTCAGAATCATTAAGTGGGTTCTCTGATGCAGCCAGCCGAAGTCCGGATTACTGGCCTGTGTTTGGCTTGTTGTGCGATTTCTTTTCGGCACCCGCCAAGTAGGAAGGATGGTGGGTCCGTATAGTACATGGCTTCTAGGACTTCGAGTGAATGTGTCTTGAGCAGTTATTAATTGCCGACTTTAGACAAGGTATAAACTTTGACACGTATTTATGCAATTTCTGTGATTATTTTTGGTCGCAGTGGTTGTTTGGGGGAATTTCTTAGTGTTCTTTATGTGCCACCGCCTATAAACCGAGCATCAGTAACATTCTTTTGCTTTGTCACCGGCTCCAGGGGAATCGCTTCCTCCCCCCCGTCTCCCCTCAGGCAGTGACGACCCCGTAGACACACCCTCGCGTGACACTACATTGTCATCAAATTAATTGGTTATTGCTTAAATTTAGCAGAATCTTTGGGATATTTGTTTCAATGCTTTATCTTGTGATTTACCAAAACTAGTCTCCCTCGGTGTATCCTTGACCATTCTAGTTTCCCACGGCTTTACCTCTGGAAAATAGAATACTCCATGGATCAGCTCAAGAGGCCAGTTTGACTGCAGTACACTTTCCTATGTTTCACTTCCATTTGACGTGATTTGAAACAGGTGCGTCGGTTACTTGACCAGAACCTCGTAAACCATACGAAAAAGTCCTTAGCAACTTGCGAATCCTCTGTTGAGCATTCTCATTTTGAAGACAAGAGGGCTTAGACCGACTAAAGAACCTTAAAATCGTGAAAAGATTATTGGTACATGAACGTAAAATGTAGCCACAAACTAGTTGGTGGCGTAATGACACATTTTCCCCACCGTTTTTATCTTAGGTTCTGAATTTCTCAATTTTTGAAGTTTTTACAGAACAACGAGATGCTGCACACTGCAGACTAGAAACCAAACTGCACCACAGAGTCAGTTTTATCGAGCTAGATTTTTTCGACTTTCCTGAGTTATTTTAGACATCATCGGCGCAGCGCGATCTACCTTTACATGCACAAAACCAATCCAGCAACGACTGTGCAACACACACGCAACTGGAGTGACATACATGTTTACATCATGCATGGCTGTGCACATGTGGTTAACATGATTAATATGTATAAGTAACACCAGGGCTACATACTGTGAACTGGTACGTCTCTTCGCAATGTTACAATGACAAATAGATT